GATGATCTCGTAGTTGGTTAGGGCGGAGGGCATGGGAGAGGTCCAGGTGAAGGTGGGGAGGGGGACGTTGAAGAAGTGCATGGCGAGGGCGCCGGATTGCTTGCGGCATTGGGTGCAGAGGCAGATGAAGGCCTGGAGGAGGGGGTTAGATGGGGTGCTAGGTGGGTGGAGGGGGGGTTTACATTGCTTTTGAAGTCGTGGTCGGGTTTGAAGGTGATTTCATATCTGACGGCGCCACAGAGACAGCCGCCGGCGACCTTGGATGGTGTAGACATGCTTGTAAAATGTAAGCTGGATTGGTATATTAATTGATACTGACACAAAGATGGAGATCTTGGGCTTCATTTATGCTATGGAAACAGCTTACAAATATCCAGCGCCCTCTTGAATACAATACAGTCACACGCCGCTAAGACGATGCAATTGGTGCCAGGTAATAATATCGTATTAACGCACATATCGTCATATGGAAATATTATGTAATCCACCCATCTAGCGTCCCTTGTATCCTGGTATTCTGATCTAAAGCATTAAGAACAGTTTCAAAATGCTTAAGACCTCGTAAATGCTCTGTCTAGAGAGCATCTTGACCTTTAGTAAACCTTATGAGAGCTTGTAGAGCCTAACGAGCATTCTGTATAGTTAATATAGGCTCCTCTTACTACTCCTCCTCCTCATCATTATCTTTGGTGTTCTGTTAGTCTAAATGTTCTTCTAAGATCTCATTTAGAACGTTATCTAGTTATAATTCCTCCCCTTTATCTTATGTATCATCCTCCTCTTCTACTAAATTTAGGAAGTTTGAAATTACTATAAAGTCATGCATATTACCTACTCTAATGACTTAGTTATAAAGATTAGAAAGTCTAGGTAGAGCGATAGAAGTTAGAAGAGAAATTAGAGTTAAAACAAGAGTTAATTTTTAAAAGTAGTTATAGATAGTTATGTTTATAACTAAGTTGTTCTAGCTTTATAGAATCCATTAAATAGCTAAGTAATGGTTTACTATGTCTATAGGATTTTAATTGTTATTAAAAGCTTTAAGCATATGTAAGAGCTATTATCATTAATAATAAGCTTTAAAAGACTAAATAATGCCTTAATTAAGGGGCTAGAATTAACTAGTACTATTAACTAGTAGCTAATAGAAATGGATATTTAGAGGTAGGGGGTAAAGCTTAAGAGTAGTACTATGTACTAGAAGGTTGTCTATAGTAAAGAGGATTTCTTATAAGCTAATGTATCTATAGAAAGCCTAAAGCTATTTACTTATAATTATTATATTCATCTAAGCCTTCTTATTCTATTTCTATATCCTACCTATTATAAAAACACTAACATTTCATAAAGCTTATAGTGTTTTTACTTTTCTAATAATCTAGATAAGGAATTAATTAGTTCTAGAGGCATAAGACTTGTCATGATTAGGCAGAGCAAGTTAGATGCTAATATGTATTAACTAAGAATATCAAGCTAAGGAGAGAAGAAGAGCCTTAGAGAAGCTCACAACCTAAATACAAGGAGTAGGTGCTAAGCAAAGCACGTGACATAAGGCAGCAAGCCTTATTCGTAACACTACCCTCCCCTTCTGAAAATGTGAGCTCCTGTAAGCATAGCATGTGCCCTCTTCCTATTCTATGTTCCTTCCCATCCTTCCTTATGTGCTTGATCTGGTGCTAGATCTAGTGCTGGATCTAGATCTAGGTCAAGTTCTGTTGTTACTCATAGGTTCTGGTTTGCAACTAGGTGCTAGATCTAGTGCTTAAGTTCTACTAGATTGCGTGCTAGATCTAGTGCTTGAGTTTCGCTAGATTGCATGCTAGATCTAGTGCTTGAATTCTGTTTCTTGAGTTCTGTTTCTTATGCTAGATTAAGTGCTTTGCTGAAATGTAGTTCTAGTGCTTAATTTCAGTTTTTAATCCTAGGTTCAGTTCTTGTTCTGGTTTTGATCCTGGTTTTAGTTTCGATTCTAGATTTTGGTGATTGCTTAGATTGTTGTTTTCTTCTAGTTTTAGTTCTGGTTCTAGTTGCTATGGTGCTGGATTTCTGTTGCTAGTGTAGTTCTAGGTTCTGATTCTAGTTCTTAGATCTAGTGCTTGATCTGGTATTAATCTAGTGCTTAATCTAGTTGCTTAATCTAGTGCTTGTGCTAGGTCTTGGTTCTGGTGTTGCTTAAGTTTTCTAGTGCTTAAGGTCTAGTTCTGTTCTTTCGTTGCTTAAGTTTTCTAGTGCTTAAGGTCTAGTTCTGTTCTTTCGTTACTTAAGTTTTCTAGTGCTTAAGGTCTGGTTCTGTTCTTTTGTTGCTTAAGTTTTCTAGTGCTTGATGTCTGGTTCTGTTCTTTCGTTGCTTAAGTTTTCTAGTGCTTGAGGTCTGGTTCTGTTCTTTTGTTGCTTAAGTTTTCTAGTGCTTAAGGTCTAGTTCTAGTTCTAGTTATAGACTGGCTTAGTTAAGAGGTCCATGCATTTCATCACTCTTTAGGAGTGAGTTCATTCATTCTAAGCAGAAATTTAATGTCGTCTGTTATGACACATTAAAGAGGAGCTTGATATTATGTCACGATTAGGTAGAGCAAGTTAGATGCTAATATGTATTAACTGAGAATATCAAGCTAAGGAGAGAAGAAGAGCCTTAGAGAAGCTCACAACCTAAATACAAGGAGTAGGCGCTAAGCGAAGCACGTGACATAAGGCAGCAAGCCTTATTCGTAACAAGACTAATTTAAGTCTTATCCTTCTTTAATCTAGGTTAAGATTAGGTAGAAAGACCTTAAGAGGGCATTATCTTCTAGAAAAGCCCTATTTCATCTATGTTATAGATATTATTATCCTTATACTCCCTAGTAATTATTTATAGTACCTTCATTTCGTCTTCTATAGAAGCTAGTGTTAATCTAGCCTTATTATGTTAAATTCATACTTTGATATTATGTTAAGCTTTAAATTGTTAAAGCTAGCTAGTACTAAAGTCTAGATATGTTATATTATCATGTAGAATACGTTCCTAGATTTCTTAAGCTTTTTGTTAAAGTAGATTGCTAGTAGTAAAGCCCCCCTTTGATTTAATTTGAAGCTGCTAAGTAAGAAGAAGCCTTTTAACCTTAGGCTAGTGCCTAGTTCTAAGTCGTGCTCTATTAGCATTAGGAGCCTCGTTAAGACAATTGAAGTAATGGCTAAGAGACTAGAAACTGTTAACTAGCTAAGTCTATGGTTATATCGTTAAAGAAACTACTTAATGCACTGCTTCTAAGACGGCTTTAGATGCTATTAATGAGCCTAAGACTGAAGAGCTTGGCGTTACTCTAGTGAAATGGGCTGTTTTCGAGGCATCCTATCATAGAATAGTGATTGGTAATACGATAATGTGGAACGAGAACATCAATATCGCGGACATCGGACAATATATGGAGTTCAGAATTGGTGCATGAAAAATTATCGCATTATCGAATATATCGCTCAATGGGGCATCGTCTTAGCGGCGTTTGACTGTACCTTCCAATTGTGGTTGTGTTATCCTGAGGCTCATACCAAGCCTGCAAGGCTGTGAGGTCGTGAAGTCATAACGGCGTAGATCACAAGGCTGAGAATATAGGACCACAATAAATGACCGACGTCAACGTTCATGAATTACATAGCTCTGGCTAGCTAAAGAAATAAAATTTCCATTGGGAGATATGCAGCTCCTTGATTTACTCAGATTGGTTATCTGGCAAATAAACAGACACTTCCAAGCCGCCACTGTATGGCACCGTCATGGTCTTGAACCCATTCTCGGGGCTCCGAACATAAGTGAGAAATTCCTTGTACAGAATCTTCGACATCACAACATTGTCCGCAATCACAACAGCTCCACGTCGCAGTCTCGGCTGGATGATTTTGAGGGTTGGGAGCGCCATTGGCGTCCATACTAGTTGCATGTGTTAGTAATATGATAAAAAGTACAGTAACAATCGAGCGAGGTTGAGTGAAGCGGTAGCTTACTATCAAGCAACAACAAATCGATCTTCTCCGGCATCCCCTCCTCAACCTTCAAAGTCTCAAGCAAATCACCCTCCCGGAGCTCAATCCACGGCTCCACCTCCTCCCCAGCATCCCTCCAATACTCCCTCGCCCTGGCCGCTTTCGTCGGCTCCTTCTCCGTCGCAATCACCTTCCCCGCCCTCGCAACCCCTCCACTCGGCTTCGCCTGCGCGACATTCTGTCCCACCGCCAGCGCTAGGTACATCGTCGACACACCAAAGCTCGTCCCCGCCTCAACGATATTGAGCGCGCCCATGCTCCGCGCGAGCAGGTACACGAACTGGCACTTGTCAGGCTCGAGGGCAACGAATTTATCGCGCATGTGGTCGTCGGCGCGGGCGGACCAGCTTTCGCCGAAGAGGAGGTAACGCCCTAGTCGGGTGAGGTAGAAGAAGGATTGTGAGTAGGAGTTTTCCTGTGCTGAGGAGAGGGCGTGGAGTTTCTCGAGGAGAGCGCTCAGCTTCGTGCTCGCGACGATAGAGGAGGCGTTGAAGGACATGGTTTCTAGCAATGGTGGGGTTCTCAGGGAGTATAGCAAAGTGGACTTCTCAAATATGAAGATACTCTCCGATCAAGAAACATCTCTCTCCATGTTTATCCCAGGGAAACCGTAACTTATATATGTCTCGTTATATATGTCTCGGGTCATCCGCCCACCGATTGCGGGGAACACAGCTGTATGCGCAATACTGCACCTAGCAATCACAAATCCCTTGGCGACTCAAGCACCACCAACGATCGCCGACCACGGCCGGCGAATCACTTTCCCCCGCCCGCCCCCCGCCGCCCCCACCACACTGAACCCTAACATCGAAAAAAAAAAACGACCAAAATATCATCAACAACGGACAACAATAACACCACGTCCAACGCCGAGAACAGCAAAAGAATTGACCAGGCTGGGGTTCGATCCCAGGACCTTTTCGGTACATTAGAAATGTTAACGAAACGTGATAACCAACTACACCACCCGGCCAGAGACATGCTCCCGTTCGGAGTTGAACCGAAGACCTCGGCATTACTAGTGCCGCGCTCTACCAACTGAGCTACGAGAGCTGATTGTTGTGCTGATTGTTGTGCTGAGAAGGCATATTTGAAATTATGAGTATCGGCGGATTGGTGCTCGAGAAAAGAAAATCCCGAATTTGTGGTTGTGGGGTCGAGAGCTAATCTTAGTGTTTCTCGCTAAGTTAATTTTGGGGCTAATCTATTTTAGGTTGATATTTTGGTCCCTTCACCTATACGGAAGGAGTGATGGTAATAGTCTTAAGAAATGGAAGGAGCGTCCTTCCTCATTAACAGACTCGTTATGCTTATAGGATTGAGGTCAGTGTTCGGCGGATCGTATCCGGATCTGATCCTGAGCCCTCACGGGTCAGATCATGATCCGTCTGACATCTGACGGATAGATCTAGGTTATATCCGGATCTTAAGGATAATGAGGCTTAAAAAATGAGGCTTAAAATATATAAATAGAATATATATAATAGGTATAATTACTCCTCCCTTTTGTCATTAGCGTCTTTAGCTTCGCTCTCTTCAGTATCTAGTATATGACCCTAGTCTCGTAAACAGAGTAAATATCAAAGCGTTTTAGGAGAGAGCCTATTCCTTTTCTTCGTCAGAATATCAGCTCCATTACTAAAGACCTGCTCTGACGGAGCTAATGTTGTAGGAATTGCCAAGTAGTCTCGAGCAATTGCAGTAATAATTAGATACTAATACTGCTTTGCTGCCTAATATTTGAGAATATCTGTTGCTAGACCTAGCTAGGGCTCAACAAGCTAGCACTTCTATTCTAGTTCTTAGTAGATACTATGAGAGATATATAAATCGTCGTCAGAGTTAGGTTCTATAGGTAATTGTAGTAAATTAGCCTTAGCATCCCTCTTCTCTTCTTTAAGGAAGTATTAGCAGTCTCTATACTAAATAAAAACGTCATGGAACTACTACTTCACTCTATTCCGTTTGACTTCTTTAGTACTACTTAGCTAAAGACTATTAAATACGTTAAGATTCATGCGTAGATCACAAATTATAGCTACCCCTAAATGACTCCATCGTTAATTTGTAGTAAGCATATAGTACTTATTAAGCTTCTTATAAGCAGTGATATAAGCTAGACTAATCATTAATGATATACTAACTTCCTTTTATAGAGCCTTAAGCTTCTTTATCATCTTTAGATACTAAGGAATTACAAAGTTAAGCGTTAGATATAAGCTTGCCTATAGCTTCTATAACAGCTTAATAAATATATAGAAGAAGTTCTAAAGAGCATGAAGCGTTATCTAATCCTCTAGTATAAGAGCAATATCTCTTATACTTAGATCCATTTGCTAGGTAGCATAGATTGCTATAATTAGAGTCTATAGCTTAATGATGGCTAAAACCATTTCGTACGTTAAGTTCTACTAGACTAGCATATTAAGTGATAATTATAGCTTCTTTAGACTAGTAGTAATGGTCTGCTTTTAAAGAGCATCTTTCTATTGCCTTTAATTCCTAAATACGTAGATATGTCTTTGTAGCTTACTAAGGGTATTCTTGACTTTAACATTGCTTTTAGAGGAGCTTGTTAGAATCCACGTAGCTCCTTACTCACACTAATAACTTTTAGCTTGCTTAGTAGGGGTAGCTTTTAAAGTCTTAAGAGCATCTTAAACAGCAATATTAATGATATGGGCTATACATCATACGTCTCCTTCCTTGACTCTAAACGTCTATGGCTATTACGTTATCACTTCCTAGTCTCTAGCTATTTTCTCATATCCTGCAAGCATAATAGTATTAGCTGAGGCGTTGTCTCTTGTATAGGTAAAGACAGCTCCTATAATACCCATATCGTCTGTTATGATTGCTAATTATTAAGCTAGATATTTGCTACTATAGATAGGCTCTTAAAGATGTATGACGTCAAGTACTTTAGACTTCTGTTGCCATTTATTGTTAATCTAGTGTGCTATAATAGTAGCATAGTCTATATAATTCCGCGTGGACCATGCATTAGTTGTTATTAATATCTAGCCTCCTCTCTTAATATGAGAATTAAGCTTAAGTTATAGCTAGCCTTAGTGATATAAGAACTAATGCTATAGTTCTTAGTATAGCATACGAGCTGATATTAATGTAGTTGTTAGGCTTAAGAATTGAACTAATTCACAGAATGAATAGCTTTTAACAAGGCGTATTAATAGATTATTTGACATAACAAACTATAGTAATAACTCCTTATACTTTAAAGGATTACTAGACTACTTTAAGATAGCTAATAGGCATGGGTTAAAGAACAATGATGTACTACTTGACGTACTAGACGACTGTCTATTCTCATTTTTAAGGGCGTATGATACTGTTAGATGCTTTAAAGAGTAATGCCTCTATAAATTACCTGTTAACGACTGCTTTAGTCCTTGTGGTGGTATTGAATATTCATAGTCTAGTTACAGGCATACTATCTTTATGGTTAGAGGCTGAGTATCAAATAGTTCCTGACGATATAAGCCCTTTGTAAATAGCTTTGAAGACGTTAGTAGTAGTACTACCCTTAGATGTTGAAGTATATTACTCAACGATCCATTAACTGCTTCGACCGAAGGCTGAATAGGGGTATATTGAGGTATAAGATGTGGTAACGACGGCTCTTCTATTTGAGAATAGCTCTCATGATCTGACGGCAAATCTGATAACTCAGAGTCGCTCATTTTTACGGCGGTAATCGTCACAATATGGTATTTAGACTGGTATTACGGTCTACTGTGTGGCCTTGGCAACTCTTGGCAACTCTTGGCAATATCCGTATGATCCGGATATATCCTCAGATCATACGGATAGGCCAAAATTATGACGGATAGGATATATCCGGATCAGTATCCGGATCGGGTCGGGTCATCTACGATCTGTGCCGAACACTGATTGAGGTATGCAATGAGTATTTGCTATATGTATGGGGATATGACTATACAACATATGCGTTGGCTGTAAGAATATTTCTTTATTTCTGTAGATTTTATAATTCACTGTTATAAAAATAAATAAATAATGAATTGTGAGAATATTTATTCCAACCCTAGAATCTGAAGACCACGGCATCTTACATTATATAAAGCATTATGGTACTATACAGCTACCCCCAATCCATCGCAACGCCAACCCATGCATTCAACCCATACGCCTTCCACCCATATCGTACCCCCTACCCACCCCTCTCAGTACTACTCACACTCCCCTTCTTCCTCAACCCACTCCCAACCCCCATCCACCCATCCCCCGCCCTCACCTGCCCCAACCTCCGACTCAGCGTCGAGTAATTCAACTGCGCCTGCCCCATCGCCTGCCCCATCGTCCCCCTCGGCGTCTTCGCCGGCGGCACCTCCGCCCTACTCTCCCTCGCGCCCTCCCAATCGCTCCCCTCATCCCACTCCTCCGTCAGCCGTCGCGGCGGCACCTTCGTCTCCCGCCCCTTAGCCCGCTTCGCGTCCTTCTTGCGCATCTTCTCCAGCGCACCCATCATCACCTCCCAGCTCTCTACGACGCCCATTCCGGCCCGGCGCGTGCAGTTGCAGTCGCAGCCCCCGGCGCAGGTCATGTCGTCTTTTGTTGCTTCGTCGTCGTCCCATGAGGAGAGATACGCGTCGAGACAGATCTGGTGCGATGCGCAGCCGCAGGATAGACAGGCTGCATAGTCGCCGGTGATGGGCTCGATGCAGATGACGCATTTGAGCTGCCGCTTTGTCATTTTGCAGCGCTCGCAGCGACCGACTGCGCCGCCTAGAGTGGAGGTTGAAGAGGAAGTGAGCGGCTCGAGGCGATGCTCGTGCTTAAGGCAGTATGCCGTGATGGAGAGGCCGCGGTCTGAGATGGGTTGCTGGGTATCCTGTTTTCCGAGGAGTATTGGCGAAGGAGGCATGTCATGGTCCACGGAATGGATCGACGCGGCATTCGGTTTTGAGAATGGTGGCGATGGGGGACCAGGGGTGAAGTATTCTGGTAGAGAGTCGAATTTGAGGATTTCTAAGCGAGTGAAGGGAAGAGACCAAGCGAAGAGCATCTCGGCATACAGCATGCGGTAGCTTTTAAACACCGCAGTGCGCTCGAACTCGAGAAGTGGCGTTGACATGCAACCTTCGTCGTCGAAGGCGCTCTGATTATGCATCGTGACGCTGATACCAGTCACTGGCACGAGGGTTTCGTTCACGGTAGTACTGTCATCATCGGAATACGCCGACTTGGCATAAGGTGACTTTTCTCGGACGCTTTCGAGATATGTCGTATTACCCCACGTCACGGCGCTAGGAGTCAGAGTGCTGATCATGCTCTCGACCGGACTGGGGCGCTTGCGATTAGGAGGGGATGAAGAGCCCGTGTGGTAGAAAGGGTTCTTCAAGTTCGAAGCAAAGCTGGCTGCAAGTCCAGAATTGGCACGTTGCAATAACCGCCGATCATCTGGGGATGTTGACAAGCTTTGAGATTGCAGGCGTAGCTTCTCATTCAGCCTCTCCAAGCTGCCTCCTGTAGACCTCAGCGGGGGAGTTTCGCCACAAGAAAATGAGGCAGACGCAGGATCACTGCCCCATGGGCCATTTGACGATCCGAGAGAGCCATAAAATGGAGTGAGAGCTGCCCTTGGAGTAGACGGTATCGAGCTATAAGGGGTCTTTTGATACGCGCTCCACACGGCCATATCCGACGGGAAGTAGTCCAAAGAGAACGCCGGCGTCTTCATTGACAATGGAGTCTGTGGTTGCGTGAGACGTATCTCTGTATTTGGCAGCGGGTCGACGGCAGATGGTTCACTGAAGACGCAAGATAGCATCGCTAGCATCTGTATGTCAACCAGTTTCTCGAAATGATCAAAGAGGTCATCAATCAGGTTTTTGGCGAGGGGGCTGTATCCCCACTTGACTCTCCCCGATATGGCAAGGTTCTTCGAGTCAAACGCCATATCAATGCCGCTGTCGTATTGGCTGTCGCGCCTACAGTGTTTGATCATATCCCGCGCAATAACAAGGATAGGCTCCTTCCGATGCGACTGATCAAGAATCTCGAGAGGAACC